GGCCAAGTGAGGTAAACACCTGCATTGGTCCTGGGATAGGGGGATTGCAGAGGCCCAAAAAGGGGTGTGGGAGCCCAAGTGTAGAGAGTGGGTGTTCTCCTGGAGGAACAGCCTTGTGTAATGAATTGGAGCCCAAGCAAGATGCAGAGGAAATCATGCAGAAGGCAGCTCCTGGCAGAGTGTGCTGGAGCCCTCACTAGGTGAGGATACAGGAGTCTGTCTTGAGTTGTTGGACCCTGAGCAGGATAACGAAGATATTCCTGCAGAGAAATGGCCTGGCCACTGAGAGGAGGGATGGCAACAGCCATGTGAGACTGGTTATTGACAAGGACATGGACTAAATGAAAAAATATATTAAAGATAATGGTAGTACAGCCAGGTTTTCACTGGCGGAGAAGACAGTTACGAATACAAAAGATACTAGACTGGAATTAGAGGTTAAGTGTGTGATCTCAAGACTCTCAAGATGAAAGAGGGAGAGAGGGAATAAAAGATATAAATATATACATGTATTCCCTGGTTTTGGCTACTGAAAGGGGCTAAATGAAGGAAACATTGTGACAGCAATGATACAGCACCTGGCACTCGGATTATGAATACCATCATTCAGGGAAAGGGACTGGCTTCTTTGGAGGAATGGCTGATTCCAGGGCTGGAGCTGGGAAAAGGTAAAATGAGACTTGAATACCTTTTTGTACCCTGAAGTGAGGAAATGCTTCTCAATGATGGAGACATGGCTTTGGGATGCAGAAGTCATCTTGGAAGAGCTCACTCTGGCCAAATCTGGCACAGTCTGAGTTTCAAAATAAATCATGATAGTAATGGATTATAACCATTTGAGTAAAATAGCAAACCGTGCATCTATACTAATATAAGTAAAGAAATGAATGAAATGAAAGGTTAATGAGGAAAGAAATGTTTACATAGTTTCAAAGTACCTCTTCAGAAAATACCTACGAATTACAGGGGCACCTCGGTGGCTCAGGAGGTTAAGATTCTGTGTCTCCCTCTCTCTGCCCCTCCCCTCTTCACGCTCTGTCTCTTTGTCCTTCAAAAGTGAATAAACATTAAAAATAATTTAAAAAGAAAGAAAATACCTACCAATTACAAATGAAAAGAGAGGAACATTACAGAGGAGATATCTGACAGGAACCATCAGCTTGATCAAATGAAGATGATCCATAATGGGACATGTCAAAGTTATATGCAACATAATAGAATTAAAAAAAGAATATATTATTACACTTCTGTGTTTTACCCAAATATTCATAACCTGAGTCTAACATAAATATATGTCCAGATGGCCATAGTTTGCTTATAATAGCAAAAACATTATTAATAAACACAGGTAGGGGACAAGCCTGTGATATACTGTTACACTGTTACTCTTAGTAAGTATGTACAATTTACTTCCTGTGAGAAAAGGAAAAAAAGTGGCTGTAGGTACTGGGTAATTAATGCCTTTTCTCTACTTCTATTTTCCCTGTTAAAATATTTTTTTTTCTGGGTCTTTTCTCATTTGCTCTTGGAGAGGTATTCTGTTGTGTTTGATAAATACACTTAAGAATAAACTTGGAAGAATTACTGGACATGCAGGGTTCAGCTACACTCTTCTCTCTTTCTCTGTATCTCCGTCTCTCTCTCATAGATCTCAGGAAACAGAATTTAACTCCCTTTTCAAAGATGTTGTCTCTTCCTAGGTAGGGAGACCAGGAACCATGTGACTGAAACTGCTATTTTGATTGTTCATTTTTAGATCTACCACTTCAAACCAGGTTTCTGTCAATAATACAGACAATATTTTAGCTTCTGTTTTAAGCTTTTGTTTTATTTCTCAATTTATTCCCAGCCCAAGCATTGAGAAGGGATGTTATTTATTGGAGAGTCTCTCAGGGACCTCGATAATCCCTGGAAGGTATAGAGTAAATGTTAGCAATGGGTACTCTTGGTGGTGAAAATGCAGATGATATTTATTCCTTTTTTGTATTGGCTCTGTTCATTCTTTTTTTTTTTTTCCAATGAGTTTCATATTCTTAATCAGGAAGACAAAAACAGAAAGAATAAGAGAAAAAAATGATGGAAATTAGAAAGTAAATGTAACACATTAATTTTGGAACCCAGATCCCCTAATTTATTCACAAATAAAATTAATTTTATTTGTGAATAAAATTTGGTCACTGTTTCACATAAAAAAAGAAATTTGCTTCCTTTTCAGTTTTCACACAACTGAGATTATAAATTCCATCTTGGTTTTTATTTCCTTTTTCAAAAAAGTTTTGTCAAATACTTCAAATGATGAGTTTGCAGTAATCTAGAGCCAAACAACTAGCATGTTTACGTGTATTTTTGTAATAACAACACAATTGTTATTCTCAGCATAAATAACAAGTAGTTTTTTGTCCTAGCCAAGGTTCTTTTTTCAAGGAAGAAAAACTGCAAACTGGCTTGAGCCAGAAAACTAATTTAAAAAATATTGGAAAGGTGCTGAGTCTCTATGCACAGTGATGAATGGGAAGAATTTTCAAGTGGAGATCAGAGTGTTTGTGATGGGTGGAATTAGGCATATTGTAATGGTAGTGCCTTGCCGGGGCCTCTGCCGTCCTTACTGGCATTGCCCTTCTTTCGTTCCTGGGGCATGCTATAGATGTGATTTAAAATCTTGTTCTGTTTGGTTGTAGTGCTTTTGAAAACTTGGTTCTGACAGCCTTGCGATTCTTATACCTCTAAGCCATTTCAAAGAACAGTTCGTGTCAAAAATCGGGTTACAAAAATTACAAAGCAATAGCAAGCTTAGAGAATTTAAACATTGGGCAAAAATATAAAAATGAGTAATTTTTAGCACTGTATGCAATGGAAAAAGACAGTTATGGGGATTCATGCATCCCCATTCATCCCTCCATGATGAAAGTACTTTATAGTGATAATTTCTCCCCCTCCTTCTCTCTCTCTCTCTCTTTTTGGCAACACCCAAATCTCATGGAAAGGGAACATAGAGAAAGCTACAGAATGTCTTCAATAAATTATTTTAGTGGCTAATTCAGGGCGAAGCTGGAGTAGTAGAGAAGCCCTCCTTACAAGAGTATAGTCTTATCTGTGAGAGCTTGGGCATTGTGTAAAAGTCCACATGATTTTAAACATTGAATAGGGTGAGAAAAGGTTTGAAAGAACCTCTCTTTAAAGCCATCAGAGGCAAATGAATAAGAAGTACTTAAGAGATTTTCCATTAATTCATAGGATGGCACATATTATGTTTGATCTCTGCAGCCTCATTTGTTCCTATGCCCTGTCCTTGTTCAAGTGAATCTCTCCTGTATTGAAGGCTAATCTAGTGTTTCTCAAAGTAGGGTAAGCAGGTTCTAGTGGTTTGTTGATGTATTCTTGGGAATCTAGACTTTTCTAATCACTGTTTTATAATAATGTGTTAAGAGAAAAGATCCGTGTATTTATAATTACATGATATAAGCATGGTTTTGGGTATATAGTCAACCTCCTTATTTCTAAGTAATGGGCTAGGATTTTATTTATTTTCATAATTATTTTTATAGTGGTTGTAAATTGTTTATTTGCAATTATTTACAAGCAATTTAAAGTCATTGTTTAAGGTTATTTACAGAAAAAGCAATTATCATTGTCCTTAGATTAATGTTTTTAATATAATTATTTTACTGTGTGCTTGACTGTTGTAATAAAAGGGAAAAATAGTTAAAAGCAGACCCTGACCTGAGTATGAAGAGGCCTGGTTTCCTAGCTTCACCACTTCCTGACCATGAGATTTGGGGTAAGTCAACTAAGATTTTTTGACTTTCCGTTACCTTGTATTTGAAATAAGAGCATATGGCAAGAGCTAGGTGATCCCTAAATTCAGTTTCCATTTCAAAAATGATGAGCTTTTTTTTTTTTAATGGAAAAAGCATCAGGGAGAAGAAAATTGATTCAGTCAACAGGTCTTTGGGGGAAATGTCTAGTACCATATTTTCCTAATTATAGTCAAAAATAGTGGGATGTAAGAACCAAATATTTATTGAGTGCCTTCCCTGTGCCTGACACTACTCTATTTTAAGTCCTGCAAATGTGACCCTGACTCTTTGAGTTTGATTATATAATTCCTTTTGGCAGTGTCGTAGGGCACAGAATGAGTAAGTATGGAGTCTGGAAAGGAATCCTGCTTGTCTGATTCTAAGCCCTGGATTCCACTGTAACACTAGCTCTTTGCTAGCCTCACAAGATGATTTTCCCCCTTTATCCATCTATTTTCCCATTTAAAAAAAAAAATCTTGTAAAACTAAATTCTAAGCAGCGTCTCACAAAATGTTAAGGTCCTCACATCCTTTAAGCATTGCTTATATGAGGATACTCCGCCTTATCCTTCCTCTGCACAGAGGTTTACCAGGGTCCGTAAGAATGGTTTGTTGTGTTTCCCCTCAAAGCCCATACATTACTTCTCAATTCTGATGTGAACATATGTGAACGGAGCAAATGAGCATAATCTGGTCGTTAATGCAGTTTTCTTTTTCTTTTATAAGGCAAAAATAAAGTGCAGAGATTCAGGCTGAGTTTTAAAAACTTAGGAAAAATGAAAAGGCACTGTGCAGGTACCATCAGGACAGCAGCAGCAACTGTGTCAATGATGTGTTGATAAGTGTTGTAAAGAAAGCATGTTTTACTCCTGTTTGTGTGTGTGCTTTTTTGACACTTTTTTTCCTTATGAAACCGCAGGGGTATTTTAAAATTGTGTTAGGGAACACAGTGCGATTAGGAAGGCAAATAGTCCCGATCTAGTGCTTTAGGGGGGAGGTTCAAAAGGAAACTTGGCGGGAGGGGGGAGGGGAGAGGCAGGAGAAGGGGGCTGGGGGACCTGTGTTTTTTGCTTCTGTCCCGGCTCAGCACCGGGTAAGGTGAGGTCTCTCCCGCTACAGTTTCTCTCTCTTCCTTTCGTCCCGCCTGCAAACGCCAGACAGCCCAGTGGGCCCGTAGGAAACGACGATCAGACTGAAGCAAGTCAGAGAGCTCGGAACACAGGCGTCCCGTTTGCAAGTGACCAAGGAGACCGCCAGAAGTGCGCCAGCCGGAGTCTGAGAGTTTCCTTCTGGCCGAGAGGGGGAGCCCCGCGTTCCCAGCCGGGAGCGACCCGGAGCCCCGCGCCTCGAGCCCCAGCCGCCGCCAGTTTTAGCTTCAGCGGGTTAGGAAGAGGAGGGAGGGGGCAGAGCGCGCGAAGAAGGAGGGCACCGGGGCCGGAGGGTCCCGAGTCCAGCAGTGTCTTGACGTCGAGAAACTTTCCCTCTCGGCCGCAGAAACGGCGCCCCGGCGGTGTGGGAGCGGAGATCGCTCGGCTGCGAGGACGCGGCAGCTCTCCACGCCCCTGCCCGAAGCCTGACCCGACCGCATCGGTCCGTAAGGTATGGAGAGACAGCGATTTATCTGGGGTCTCCCCGGCTGCAAGCCCAGCCTCCCGTCAGGTAGCGCGCAGCCTCTTCCACGCTGACATCCCGAGGGGAGGCGGGCGGGGGTCAGCGCCGGCCGCGGGTGCCTGGGGAGGAGGGCGCGGGGCTGCGCGTCGCCGCAGCCGCCCGCAGGCAGGTTGCAAAAATTAGGGCAGTGGAAGGCGCAGGGAGTCTCCCAGCCTGAAAGGAGGCGAGGACCTGTTGACGACTGCCATTGCAGTGCTTGAGGGATGACGGAGAGCCTAACGTTAGGTCGGGGACGCAGCGGGCTCGCCGCTCCAGGATCCTCCCCTAGCCCTTTGTGGTAACTTTGGGCCGGGTGGCCAGGGCCGGTGGGCGGGAGCTGGGGAAACGGGGGTAGCGGCGGGGCGCCGGTGGCTCAGCCCGGCGGAAGGTGCGTGGACCCGACGGGACTGAGCCGGCAAGTCATCGCCCCGGCACAGCCAGGCGACCCAGGAGCGAAACTTCTTGCAGCGTAACGTCCCTTTTGTTGGCTCCAGGACGGAGTGTGAGCATGGGGGCGGGGAGGCGCGAAGCTCCTAGGCCGGGCTCAGGATTCTTTAAAGCCAGGACTGGGAGGGCCCCAACTCGGGGGCGGCGCCCACGCGGTTAACCTTTGGCTGGGTGGCTTGAGTAGTTCCTTGCGGCGTGCGCTACGTTAAGAGGGGAGCACGGCGCGGCGCGTTGAGGAGACCCTGGGCTCAAGCTCGCTCGCCCGGGGCCGTCTCCCCGTGGGCTGGCTCACTACGCGGATCAGCACCCGGCGCGATCGGATCTCCCGTGTGGCTCCCAGGGCATCGCGCCGACTTCCCTGTGTGCGGGAGGGAACTCTGGGCAGGCTGGTTTTCTTGGAATGTGTTTACGATGTTGAATGGGACTTGAACAGGAAGCCGGACGCTGCAGCTGGAACTAGCGTGCCAGGGTAGCGTAAGGATAGCGTAGCTGGTGTTGGACTTGGCGAGTCTACTTAGGACGTTGGGCAAACCCCTAGTAGGTGTAGGACGTCGGTCTAGGTAGAACCCCTTCCTGGTTCCTGGCAGGTTTTCTCAATTGAGCTCGCCTTACTTTCACGTGCAATCAGACACTGACATGTTCTATTTCAGTCTGCAAGTTTGTGGAAGTATAAGGCAATCAATTAGGAAGTATTTAATCAAGGTCATTTTGGACCTGCTTTGAAAAAAATGTTGCATCAACCCAGGAGTGAAAGTTTCTGGGGCGTGTTCTAGTTACGGGTTGCTCTTGTTAATTTCGAGGACTAGTCGGAGACCACAATAATGATGATTTTTGTGTCTGTTATACCAAATGGATGATAAAGTGCTAAGGGAGGGCAGTAATGAGAGCGGGCGTTAGGAGGTAGGAAAGTCTGAGAGGAGTTGGAATATTTCCAGATGTGCAAATCGCCCCCTTTCTCTGCCAGTCTTTCCCTCCTTCCCCCACATAAACAAGTAGCCTTGCTAGAAAACCCACCAATTGGGAGAGTGCAGTCTCTGGCGACTCCAAGCCTTGCTGGAAACAGCAGACAGGCGAAGGTACTGCCCCATTGCATAATTAAAAGGTCTCCTTGAGCTGTCCAGGAGTGTTTTCCAAGTTTTTACGACTGACAAGGAAAGAAGAGAGGAACCTGGCCAGCAGCCAAACCAGACTGGGCTCAGTAGCCCGGCATGAAAGAGACGGGGGAACTTGCAAGGGATAATTGGAAAGGAGCTGGTGGGTACTTGGGTTTAAACAAGGGGTTTCTTTTGCAATGAGATTTTTTAGGTGACTAAGATCAGTCTTCTTGGCAAAAAAATAAACTAAGCACAGAGTGCAGTCGGTGGTGACAGAGGAGAGGGGTAGAAGTTCTCTAGGAGGGAAGTCTCACTTATCAGTGTTGCAGTGGAATTGCTGGCGGCCTGATGCTGTGGCCTCTGCTGATTATATTTTGTTCGCGTTCACATTTTGTTGCCATTTGTCTCCTCATCTTGGACTGGGCTTGCTGCAACTTCAGTCCCTTGACCTTGACTTTCTTTGTTTTCATGGCTAGTAATAACCAAAGACTTGGACTTTGAGCAGATGGTTTTCCACCTAAATTGAATAATTCAATTACATACTCTCAAATGGCACAGATTTGGGTCATGGAGTTAAAGTGTAAAACATGTTTAGTTCGTCTTCCTTGTGTTTGTCAACAGTAACCCCCATAAATAGATCTTGCCCTTTCTCCTGGAGGAGTAGAAGAAATTGGGGTGATCTCGCTGTTTCACACAGCATTTGCCTAATTCTTAAGGCCCTGCTGTTTCCAAGTTCCAGATTAGCCAGGAACTCAGAGCCTTATCTACAATTCAGATCCTTCTTTTATGTGTAAAACTTGTTTCCTCTTCATTCCTCCCTCCCTCCTTCCTTCCTTTCCTTAACTTCCCTTCCTTCCCTTCCTTTCTTTCCTTTCTTTCCCTTCCTTCTTTCCTTCTCAGGGAATTTGCTTTACTGTTGTGAGTTTGGGAGTTAAATGGTACAAAACACTAATATGTATTGTATTTCCATGGGATTGGTGAGTTTGAGATTGTGAGTATCAGCCTGCCCTTTGAGATTGACTTTATGAATCACACTTGGCAAAGTGTTTTCCCTATGATTTCAGTTTTTCCACTTGCAAAGTAAAGAAACTTTTCTTTATGTAATTACAAGTTTACTGTGAGCATTAAAGAGATGAAATTATGTTAATAGGTTTTTAAAAATGTAAAGGTCATAGAGTTTCTGACTCAGTTGACTCAACTGAGATTATAGGAGTAAAATAGTCACACTTCTATCTAGTATACACATGTTATAGTGACGTATCTATTTAATTTATAAAATTATTATTGCATTTTTATTGTAGTTTTAGTTTAATCAAATTTTAATCTTTGAGAATATTGGGTGAGATATTGTTATGATTAAAGCTGAGTCATTCTCTCAGAAAAATACAATCAGCAAATTAATTTATTTTTCTTTTGGTTTATATTTATACTGAGGACCAGTTATTTTTTAAGCCCAGCTCAATTTTGCCTTCATGAGAAGTTACCAAATATATTTGCAGAATTTGGCTCCCTTCTCGGAAATAACACTTGAGGGACTAAAATTACATTTATGGTGTACAAATAAACTCTCTTTTCCCAAAGGCCACAACAGTTTCCTTTTGAGTTTAGAGGGTAGATTTAGGAGACTTTCATTAGTTGATTCAACCAATACTTATTGCATATTTTTTATGTCCAAGGAAACAGCAGACTTGGATTCAAATCCCAGCACTGAAATTCTTAGCACTGTGATTTTGTTTGTGTTATTTTAGATTTTACCAGAATTTTACCAACATATAATTTATTGTCTATATTGCTATTAATAACATGAACTTGTTCCACACATCATAATTGTGAAATATTCCATTTTTAGTTAGAAATGTCAATCACCAAAAAAAAGCTATTTTTTATAGCTTAATATACTGCATTGTATGCATGGATGTTTATTTTCACGTGAACAGGTCACTATATTAGAGAAAGAGGACAATAAATATAGATACATTGTTCAAATAAAATTTTTGGTAAAATACTTAGAGCTGATTTTTAGACTATATTAATAATGAATGTATAAAATAATAGGTTATTTTTAGACTTTATTTTAGTAATAATGAATGTATAAAAAGTAGCAATATATGGGTGATAATAGTTAAATTTATGGTTACGTTAACAAAATAAGCACTTTTTTGAATAATCAAAGTACAAGTGAACATTCAAGGATATATTAGGGTAAGTTTAATATAAAATATCCAATTTTGCTTTTGCTTTTAATACTTTTTTTAAAGTTTATTTTTATTTATTTTGAGAGAGAGAGAGACAGAGAACAAGTGAGGGAGGGAGAAAGGCGGGGGAGAGAGTCCCAAGCAGGCTCCGTGCTGTCCATGCAGAACCTGATGTGGGACTCAAACTCAGGAACCATGAGATCATAACCTGAGCTGAAACTAAGAAAATCGAACACTTAACCGATTGAGCCACTCAGGTACCCCTTGCTTTTGCTCTTAAATTAAAAATCTTGAAGATCCTTAATCTCCATTACTGAATATTAGATAATTTTAATTAAATTTCACTTAGCAGAAAATTTGTTTGTGATTCATTCTGTAAAATTGCAAGTTGTTTTCTAAAACCTCTAAGTGACAAAAAACGTTATTTTATTTGAATATGATAATAAATTCAAAACTAGTTACTACAGGAGTCAACGGCATGGTTGCCTGAGCCCTGGTGCATGAACATAGCAGAGACTGGTGGATCTAATAGTGCTGCCTTGTTACATTTAGAGATCAAGAAACTTAAGTTTGCTCCCATGGGAGCTTAAATATATTCAAACTGGAAGAAGAAAAATGGTATAAATTTTGAGCAGAGAAATCTCTTTGCTTTCAAACAATGGAGATATGAAATTAAATTCAGGCCTTTATTTTAAAGATGATGGCTGAAAGTCATTGTTCCAGAATTAGTCTTAGAAGACAGTGCTTATACTATTTTTAGGCTGTTATTTGCCAGTTTTATGTTTGTTTTATAGTTCGAAAATATTTTCAGCTACTCTAATGATAGTTATAGTGCATGATTATTTTTCACCAGAAGACAGTTAATTGACAAATATTGTGCAAGGGAATAAATGCCAATTTTCTGCTTTCATTGAAATGGCATAGTTATAAATTTGGAATTGGTTTCATCTTTCAATACTGTGTACGTAAGGATAGTGTTATAAAGGCACAGATCACATAGTATGAATAAATGGTTTAATTTATGTAACAATTGTGATTGCAATGATTAATAGGACTTTTAAAAAAGTTTTAAATAACTGTATTTTCTAAAATACATCTAAGAGAGCATTTTTAGGTAGTAATAGATGCTTTTATTCCATGTTTGTTTTTTGCTATTCACAGTATATAAATGTGTCTACATATTGTTTTCATCATATTCCTTCTGAAGAGGAGG